CAGGGTATCCAGACGGATCGACATGTCCACCAACTGATCGAAGCTTAGGTTGGTGTCCCTGCAGGCCAACTCTCGGCGAACGTCCTCTCATAGGCTGCACCGATAGTGGTCGATGAGGGCCCTCTCATTCCACCCCGCATTAGCCGCCAGAATCCGGAAATCCAGGGCGAACTCTTGCGCGCTCCTCTTCCCCTGTCGGAGGTGGAACAGACGCTCCCCCGCCGCTTTACCCTCTGGGGGATGATCGAAAACCGCCCTGAAGCGGCGGGAGAACTCCGCATAGCTGATGGTGGCGGTGTCTATTCCCCTCCATTCGGCATTGGCCCACTCCAATGCCTTGCCGGATAGACAGGAGATGAGGGCGGAAACACTCTCATATCCCGAGGGCGCCGGGTGAATGGTTGCCAGGTAGAGTTCTACTTGCAGTAGGAAACCCTGACACCCGGCTGCGGTGCCATCATATGCCCTCAGGAGCGAGAGCATAATCCCACTGGACTCCGGAGATGGAACGATGGGTCTGGCCGATGGTGGTGGTATTGTAGGAGGAGGTGTGGGCAAGCCTCCTCTTTCCCATTGGCTCAGAGTGTCCATCACATCCTGCATGGCGGTGCCAAGTCTACGGAACATGGCGTCCTGGCTGCTGACACGATCCTCCAGAGACTCTGTTACAACCGCTGGTCCTGCTGACTCCATGGTGGTGTGTTATTCTGTCAAAAGGGGTGATGTGTACGTGGCAGTGAAGTCAGGCGTAGGACACAGAGAAACAGGATGACTACTTTACTTAAAGTTAACACGCACAAACAAAAGGTATCCACAATACTGGAGGAGTAACACACTCTGTGCGTAAAAGGCGAACTAGATATGCCGAACATCAACAATACAAAATGACAATAACACACAAAGGCCAAACGTAAAACAAGGGAACTTATATGTTACACAATCAACACAAAATAAGCAACAGGTGTACAAACTAGACAACACAAGACAAACACCGAAAACATCGAACGGCAGTAGCTAGTACTCCGGGGACGACGAACGCCGAAGCCTGCCCGAGCAACGAGGAGGAGCAGCCTCTGCGGAATCCGTGACAGACTTGAAAAACTGTTATCCACAGTTAGCATATCACTTAGTTGTCAATCAAATGTATTTGGCATCGATCAATTGGGAGGGCAGGCAAGAAAGTTTCCATTCAGGTATCAAAATTTGGGTTGGGACAAGCATGCATTGGCAGGCAAGCTGCAGAGGGGTGAGCAGGCTACTATTCCCCATCATTTATCAGTACCATTTTGACGGCGTACTACAAGCTGAAAAAGTTTGAGAGGGTTTATCTACTCCCAAATGTAAGAGGATTCCTGTGGTAAGATGTAAGACGTAAGATGGTGCCGACAGATATGGTAGCTCTGCTTCTAGCTCCTAAGCAACTTTGCAGCATTTTGTTTTTTTGTGTGTTATTTCTTACATTATTAGCCTAGAAATTGTTTTGCGTTATTACATACAGCCGGAAATAACTTTGGGATATCAGAGCGGCGGTAACTCACCAGCATTACGACCAGGAATACGACTTTCCCGAATTGGATCCTTTGTTCGTAGCCCCCAGGGCAATTTAACTGATTCCAGAAGCTGATCCAAAACACAGCCGGCGGAGAAGAGGTATTCGGAGTGGACTTCTAGTCCGACTCAGGAGGCGCGCATACCATCCACTGCTTCCAAGTATATTACTCGCTAATGTTTAGTCTCTGGATAATAAAGTAGACAAGCTCAGGGCGAGGATCTCCTTCCAGAGAGACATCTCACGGAAACATGGCTCTCTCGGGATATACTGTCACATTCCATACAGCCAGCTGGGTTCTCAGTACATCGCGCAGACAGGAATAAAGAACTCTCCGGTAAGAAGAAAGTATGAAATTTTTTTTTTTTTATTCAAAAAAGAAAACAAATATATGCACTCACTAACTGTAGTCGCTCTGGATAAGAGCGTCTGCTAAATGACAAAAAAATAAAAAATAAACTACTCATGGTGTGATTGTGATAACATACATTTATGGAAAACGCTACCGAAGTTCTACCAACACATTGACTGTAGTACTCGCTCTGAGAAAACATTGGACCACTGCTACTCAACTTTTCTAAATGCCTACAAGAGCCTCCCCCGCCCTCCCTTCAGCAAATCTGATCACGACACCATTTTGCTCCTCCCTTCTTATAGGCAGAAACTCAAACAGGAAGTACCCGTGCTAAGGTCTATTCAATGCTGGTCTGACCAATCGGAATCCATGCTTCAAGATTGTTTTCATCACGCAGACTGGGATATGTTCCGGGTAGCCTCTGAGAATAACATAGACGAATACACGGATACGGTGACTGAGTTCATCAGGAAGTGTATAGGAGATGTTGTATCCACTGTGACTATTAAAACCTACCCAAACCAGAAACCGTGGATAGATGGCAGCATTCGCTCAAAACTGAAAGTGCGAACCACCGCATTTAACCATAGCAAGGTGACTGGGAATATGGCTGAATACAAACAATGTAGTTATTCCCTCCGTAAGGCAATCAAACAGGCAAAACGTTAGTACAGAGACAAAGTAGAGTCGCAATTCAACGGCTCAGACACGAGACGTTTGTGGCAGGGTCTACAGACAATCACGGATTACAAAAGGAAAACCAGCCACATCGCGGACACCGACGTCTTGTTTCCGGACAAGCTAAACACCTTCTTCACCGGCTTTGAGGATAACACAGAGCCACCGACGCAGCCCGCTACCAAGGACTGTGGGCTCTCCTTATCCGTGGCTGACGTGAGTAAGAAATGTAAGTGTGTTAATCCTCGCAAGGCTGCCGGCCTAGACGGCATCCCTACCCGTGTCCTCAGAGCATGCGCAGAGTGTTTATGGACATATACAATCTCTCCCTATCCCAGTCTGCTGTCCCCATTTGCTTCAAGATGTACACCATTGTTCCTGTACCCAAGAAAGCAAAGGTAACTGAACTAAATGACTATCACCCCGTAGCACTCACTTCTGTCATCATGAAGTGCTTTGAGAGGCTAGTTAAGGATCATATCACTTCTACCTTACCTGACACACTAGACCCACTTCAATTTGCTTACCGCCCCAATAGATCCACAGACGATGCAATCGACATCGCCATCGCACTGCACACTGCCCTATCCCATCTGGACAAGAGGAATACCTATGTCAGGATAATGTTCATTGACTATAGCTCAGCATTCAACACCATAGTACCCTCCAAGCTCATCATTAAGCTCGGGGCCCTGGGTCTGAACCCAAACCTGTGCAACTGGGTCCTGGACTTCCTGACGGGCCCCAGGTGGTAAATGTAGGAAACAACACCTCCACGTCGCTGATCCTCAACACAGGAGCCCCACAAAGATGCATGCCCAGCCCCCTCCTATAATCCCTGTTCACCCATGACTGCGTGGCCAAGCACACCTCCAACTCAGTCATCAAGTTCGCAGACAACACAACAGTAGTAGGCCTGAATACCAACAATGACGAGATAGCCTACAGGGAGGAGGTGAGGACCCTGGGAGAGTGGTGCCAGGAAAATAACCTCTCACTCAACGTCAACAAGACAAAGGAGCTGATCGTGGACTTCAGGAAACAGCAGAGGGAGAACACCCCTATCCACATCGACGGGACAGCAGTGGAGAAGATGGAAAGCTTCAAGTTCCTCGGCGTACACGTAACTGACAATCTGAAATGGTCCACCAACACAGACAGTGTGGTGAAGAAGGCGCAACAGCGCCTTTTCAACCTCAGAAAGCTGAAGAAATTTGGCCTGGCACCTAAAACCCACAAACTTTTACAGATGCACAATTGAGAGCATCCTGTCTGGCTGTATTACCGCCTGGTACAGCAACTGCACCGCCCGCAACCGCAGGGCACTCCAGAGGGTGGTGCGGTCTGCCAAACTACCTGCCCTCCAGGACACCTACAGCACCCGATGTCACAGGAAGGCCAAAAAGATCATCAAGGACAACAACCACCCGAGCCACGGCCTGTTCACCCCGCTATCATCCAGAAGGCGAGGTCAATGCAGGTGCATCAAAGCTGAAAACAGCTTTTATCTCAAGGCCATCAGACTGTTAAATAGTCATCACTAGGTGGCTTCCACCCGGTTACGCAACCCTGCACCTTAGAGGCTGCTGGCCTATATACATAGACTTGGAATCACTGGCCACTTCAATAATGGAACACTAGTCACTTTAATAATGTTTACATATTTTTGCTTTACTCATCTCATATGTATATACTGTATTCTATTCTACTGTATTTTAGTCAATGCCACTCCGACGTTGCGTGTCCTAATATTTATGTATTTCTTAATTCCATTATTTTACTTTTAGATTTGTTGTTTTGTGTGTATTGTTGTGTATTGTTAGATATTACTGCACTGTTGGAGCTAGAAACACAAGCATTTCGCTACACCCACAATAAAATCTGCTAAATATGTGTATGTGACCAATAAAATGTAATTTTGATTTGATTTGGTATTTACATATTTGCAGAAATCTATTCAGGTGTATTTTGTGGCTTTTGGTGAATGTTTTCAAATGATTTATAGTCACACTTACACATGATGGCAAATGGCTTATGTGCATATACAGTAGACCTACTGTAGCTCTGACTGGCTATGGTGCACCGGTCTGTGTAGAGTTCGGTCCTGGACAAGACAGATGTTTTTATGAGGTTTTATTTACTTCAGTGACTATTAATTGTCCAAACACACGGCCGCTTTCCCACTCTATATTGCTAAAGAATTTTCACAAATGCCTTACTATACGTCATTCCCAAACATTGTAAGAATTTATGAAAACGTGAAAAGGACCACATCTATGTGCATCTATGTCATAAAATGTTAAAATAGGCGTCATATTCTCCCTGTTGGTTTATATGAACAGATGTTACTATGATTTCATGTTGCTAAAATGCTGTCAGTTCCACTTTAAAATGAATATTTTATTTTTCTTGAAGAGAGATTATGATATTGGTTGCAGGGTTGGGGTCAATTCCATTTAAATTCCAGTCAATTCAGAAAGTAAACCGAATTCCAATTCCAATTAATCAATTTCCTCATTGAAAAGCACTGACAAAAATATTCATGCACTTTTCTCTCGCATTTCAGTACAAAACACACAAAATTGAGAATCGAAAAACTGGAATCTATTACCCGTTTGTCTTCAATGATGTCATGGGTTTTGAGAAACAGAGTGGCAAAGGAGTGAATGAAGATGACCTCATCAAAGCACTGACAGGACATGTAAAAGAGGGTCACAAGGTAAAATATCTCCAACACAACAGCACTGCATGCTCATTAGTATGTGAAAGAGATTTTGTGAGGGAATTATTAAATTCCTGCCATTGTTTACATGCTGGAACTCAATATGAACTCACAATGATGTCTTGTTCTTGTACTTTGTCTAATTCTGTCTAGTTCAATCCGATTCATCCACTGACCGAAGGCGATTTGGGCTACAATAAATCCCCCAGTCCAAGTGACAGAGCCCACTGCCTGGTCAGTCTGATTCCAGCAGATAAGATTGCGCTCATGGATGATGATGTCATCAAGAAGATGAGGGCCATTAGAGTAAAGGCCAGTGAATTGGGTAAGTGGAGAAATACATTATTGAGCACTATTACTGTAGTCACCGATATTTAAGATAAAATATATACTGTAGCGACCCTGGTTTATAAGCGCGGATATCGACTCTGCCACTTGAGCATGCTTTCTTGGCAGAGTCGATGGCACGCTGGGCTTCTGGCCAGAAGGTTGAGGGTTCAAGCCGCACTCACTGCCTGTTTTATTACATTGGTGTCGGATGTGATCGGACCTCGCATCCACGACAGTACGTAAGCTTGGCCAGTGAGCGCGTTCCTGGAAGACGTGTCCTGTGAGGTCTAGCGCGAGGATGCGCTCTTTGAAAGGAGGGAGTTATGTAGTGACCCTGGATTATAAACACAGATATCGACTCTTCTACTTGAGCACGCTTTTGTGGCAGAGTCGATGGCACGCTGGGCTTCGGGCCAGAAGGTTTAAGGTTTCAGCCGCACTCCTTGCCTGTTTCATTACAATACTTTATTGTCCTTTGTGCTCACAACCCAACCCCCTGAGACACACACACTCACACACACCCCAATGGTCTAGAAGCAATGGGTCAGTCACAGTACACATAGGCAAATACTTATTAGAGACTCTTTTTCAGGAATTCCCCAAATGGTCATCCTCACCAGGGCTGATATGGCTTGTCCATTGGTGAAAGACAACTTGAGAAATATGTATCTAAGCAAGTATATCAAGGAGAAGGTGAGACACTTTCTTGAACTTAATAGGGTCATAATACTCCCAAAGTTAAAGGGAAAGTTCTGTATTTTACAACTTTTACAACTTTTGTAACAGGCACCTGCATGCCCCTACCACTCCAATTGATTTTTAGCTAGCGGTGGTATGAGTTAACTGAAGCTTGTAGTGGCTGTTTAAAGAAAACCAATGGATTACAGTTCCTCCTTGCCCATAAACTACTAAGGTTGAGGAACCATCTACCTTATGTTGTAAAATACTGAACTTCCCCTTTAACTCACATTGTATGGTGAGCTGAAATGTACATGACTCATATTCATTATTTGATCTCAAATTCAAGTGACAATAGATTCTAGCAACAACAAAAACAATTACATCACTATCCAAACATTGACAACACAGTCCCAATACTTTTGGAAGGCACGTGTGTATGTGTATATTAAACTAATTTTATGTTTTTGTTGAAGATGGAGAAATGCAGTATAAGGCTGGGTGTCCCAGTGAACTGCATCCTTCCTGTGAGGAACTACCATGAGGAAATCGACTTGGACAACGAGATGGATGTGATGCTATTGAGAGCACTGAAGCAGATGGTCAACTTTGGAGACGATTTCCTAAAGGAGATGGAACAATCTTAAACAAAACTTGTGCCTAAGCTATCGACACCATCTGTGTGCAGCATGCCCGACATAGTATAACATGTATTGTGGTCTCAGCCATAGTTGAAAATGGCAGAAACAGCTGCCCATTGATATAGTGTGATAGAATGAAATGCGCCTTAATAATAACAAAATAATAATACAGCATCATCATGTGTACCAGTAAGCAATATGCTATTAATTTATCTAAATGTTGATAATACGATCTGTGTTCTCTATTGATGTCTGTTTGATCTGAGTTTGATTGGTTATACCTAGAAATTCCTAAAGGCGCATGCCATGTTTGTTTTGTGAAAATACTTATTACAGGTGACTTGAAGCCGAATCATTTGAATCAAGGACCATTTGTCACGAGAATTTCTATCTCTAATTAATCAAACTTAATGCTTTGAATAACTCCCAGAGGGTGTAAGGCTCTGGTTCAATCATTAATTAAACGAAGGTGTCGCAACCAACAAGAATGATCTGTATGTTTTAATCATGGAGAGCTCTGGCGCCAAAAAACATACATACAGGTTTTATATCCCTTGACACACAAAGGCACTTTGCTCCGCCCACCTTTAAACCGTTTCTTAGTCCCCTTCACCCTGGAATGCTTTCTCAACAGTTTCTAACTTCCCCCCTCTGTTAGTGGGTTGACACTACATTATAACTCTAACACCATTCACACATTTATACTGTATTTGGGGTGAAATCTTTTAGTCATTATTCTTAAAATACAAATTAATCTATCAATCCACCCCTTTGACTAAATGTTTTCACATTCAGGATAAATGTATTTACAAGCATGATTAATCTCAGAGATTACGTCAGAACTAATAAACATTTCATCCAATTGCGGTCTTTCAGGGTCAAAATCCTCGTCATCCACCAAGCCTGGAGGATCGTTTTTCACATTCCCCTGGTCAGAGTCCGGAGTCGGTCCATCTCTCATCATTGTTGAGATACTGCATTTCACCAACGCCTTACTCACCAATCCTCGGACACAGGGAACAAGACAACAACCACATAATGCAAGAATACCCATACAAACACTGACCGCCCCTAAGATGGTGGCTGCTATGGTTTTCCATTTACCAAACATTTCATCAAACCACCCAATCCACGATGTACTAACTTCTGAGTTCTCAGTTCATTCTTCACTTAGTGCAGTTAATTCTGCAAGAGCTCTGGTGACTGTCCCATCCAGTGTGGTGTTGTTAGGGATAAATGTGCAACAATGGCTTATCATTCTATAGACACCGGCCCTTTCTGCCTGATCTAGAGCCAACCTCTTTTACTAAATCATGAGTGGGATGGTGGATAATTGTTCAGAGATCCCTTTTACTGCATCCCTAGTCTAGCCAATAAATCGTTGTTGGTCGTAATAGATATAATTAATCCAATCCACAATTTTGTTTATTGTCACCCACCAAAAGAACGTGGTAGTAAACCCTTCCCCTAATTCTTTCATAGCTTGTTATCCATCCGATACCCCCCTTGGTATCCCAATCGCATCCATCTAAATAGGGCTATTCTCCTTGTTAAAACTCCTCCTACGTCTGTTTAACCCTTTCCTTGGTTCCTGGTGACTAATTCTAACTAGCTGAATCAGTAGAACCAGGGCGCACGTATCTAGCCACCCTTTTGGTATTCTCTGCCTTATACTGCCTTTACTGGCACACGCCCACCACACATCGGTTACAGGGGCTGTAAGGTTTAGAATTCTCTCCTGTGCTTCCGAACTTAAGTCAGTCACATTACTACTATCTCCAATTGATAATTGGTGATCTTTGTTTCTCTTTACCCCCCATCTGGATGTTCAGTCCCACCCGGTCTCATATCCCCATCCCCAAGTGTGTTTAAACACTTGAGTCTAGGAACAATCCGCCGTGGGGGCCGAACACGAATATAATGGGATTCCTTAATCCCAAGTTGCTTATTGACCTGTACCCCACCCGTTGGCTACGTCCCTAACCTTTATTTTGAATCCTACAGTCTGCCCTTCTCTGACTCCCATTTTGTAGGCCACTCGTCCTTGACGGTCAGTATGTCGGGACGCTTCTCTTCTCTTTTACTTCTTAACAATGGTAAGGGCATAGCGTAATTGGTGGTGGATCTTGACATATCAAGACCATTGCCGAGACTATGATGCAGCTCAAGTTATTCCTCTTCCCAAAAACCGCCAACCCTCTCCTGTCCTCAGTCTTTCTGCTTGGTATCACCCCATACTCACACCCTGAGAACACACTACAGTGATGATAGGTCGGGGTAGGAGATCTTCGTTAACAGAGGTGATCCCCAGACCCTATTGGTCAAGTTCTTCTCTCTAACTCTGCGTGTGTTCAGCGGTGCTTGTATGTGTTCTTACCTTTTTGCAGTGGATAACGTGGACCCAGGTTGCTCTTTCTGCTATTCTAATGGCAAAGGCAGTGACCAATATAACCTGATAGGGCCCTTCCCAACAGGCCTGCTTCCAGTCTTTCTTCTTTAGGGACTGGATGCTCACCAGTCACCTGGTTAGATAGAGTGGGTCACCTTCTCCTTTAGTTCACCTGTGGGGCACAAAACCTCTGACATACCGCTCACATAATTTTTTTAAAACGTTTTTTGTCCTCTCCTTCGTATATTATTTAATCCTACCACTAGCCTCTTCCCCCCTCTTGACACATGGTTCTGCTCATGTGTCAATATTACCACCTACCTAAACAATCACTTAGGTAATATTGGTAATTTATCATCCAATTGCCATCCCTTATTTATTTTTGAGACTGTCCCTTGCTTCTTTATTGCTCCTCCCACTTCCTTTGTCTTTTATGGCGGCTAAATTCGACTTTCATTCAGTTCAGAATCAATAGTAATCCAATCAATCAATCCCTTATCTTGTAAAAACACTCATGTTTAGTTCAAACTCTGTTCTGCCCCGGCTCTCCCGGGCTTGACCTGAAGACTGATGGTTGGACATGACAGGTCCATACTTAAATCTTTCAAACCTAACACAAACCCCCCTTCATGCTGTAATCAATCAAGAAGATAGCAAAGGAGAGACAGGTTTTAGCCTGAACTCTGCTCAACCCTGGTGCCGCTCCCTTCACAATGTTTGAAGAGAGACAAAAGACAGCCATGGATTGAAGTAAGAGCAAGCACTAGGTCACCTACGTCTTCTGCCTAGCAACAAAGAATTAAAAAAACTCTATGTTCGTGATTAACCCAGTTATATCTAATAGCCCACTAAAAAAAACTCCCTCATCACCATCTTTAAATCACAACCAATGTCATATATCCCTCTTTACTCTCTACCATTTGGGTAAAATCCCTGTTATGTGTAGGAAAAGCTAAGACTGTTTGGGAAGTGAGCAACTTTTTTCTCTTCATAAATTGTTCTTCCTCCTCAGAGTTCCAAATGATTTTACCATGGGCTGCCATTGCCTTCCCATAGATAAGATCACTTAATTTACCAGTATGCAGTACATAATGGAGTACCCAAGCTTTACAGTAGTCTATCATTCCCAAAAAGCTCATCATTCTTCCTCTATTTCTGGACAGCTAGTCCCTATCTTAAATTATCCTATCCAGCTTCCTATTATTACTATCTTCCTGATCTTATTACTAAATCAATGATCTAGGCAATAGCTGTTTCGCATTAGATTGTGCCTTCCTCTGATTACTGCAGCTCATTGCATTAATTTAGTTTCAAATACCAACTTGTTGTTTATTAAAGCATAATAAAAATGAAATGTAAATGACAATATTTGATAATATCTCAACTTACTTCTATCCCGTAAAAGTAATACCAACAGGTATCCCTCATTCAGGGAAAGCTCTCTCCCTCTTCTGTTAATTTAATGTTTCAAATCCTATTATTACCTAATTATAATCTTCTTCACACTTTTCACAGCACTATAAATTACCCCCAATTTGATTAAATAAACCATCCCAAAGTCCTCATCTCATGCCCCCAGAACCACCAGTGTGGATGACCAATCAACACCAGAAAGTCAAAACAGAGCCCAGAGGCCATTGAAATCACCCAACAAACCGTTCCATCCCACAGCATAGTAAACACCACCTATGAACTGTTGAAAATCCCCTAAATTCAACATAACAACCCTTTATAAACATCATACTAGGTGTGATGTTTTTTATTTGAAAACCCAATTGAAAAACAACAATCAAAGATAGCCAGGCTCCACTTAATTTAGTAGCTCCCTTTTACGACCTAAATACTGCCTAACTTCACTACTGCTCCCCCCTAGCCCCGGGCAACATTCCAATGAGATAAGCTAATCTCTTTCTCCTGGTTATACATTTTGTCAACCTTCAATTACCATCAGTAATCTAAAGATGGTAAGTACACACAAAACATGATACAGATATCCCCAGTCCTAACTCATCAATAATCGTTTGTATCAATCTAATTCTCATAACTAATCTCACAATGATTATTGAACCCCTAAATCTGCTCCATGTGATCTCATCTCAAATGATCCATTATCAATTATTTTATCAACCCCCTAGGAAAATCTGTCTCCCCTTCTATTGTTCCTTTCGCCCCTGTAAATGTCATTTTTCATTCATTAGCCAATACAATCACATACTCCGTGTAAGATATTATATTTTATCCCAGGCATCCCCTTAACATAATGCTATAGGAGACTTCCATCAATCCTGGAAGACACTATATAATACCACGTTTCATTAAGTTCACTACACCTTCTAATATAAACCTATAACACCTTTCTATTAATTTAATCATCGCAACCTGTTGCATTTATGTTTTTAAAATATAAACCTATTGTTTAATAACTTCATACTTATAACCAATGTTTATTCAATCCATCATCCTAATAGTAAAAACGATATCCCATTGTTCACGTAACGAAACCAAATTATCGTTTTAGAATTCACCACTTATTTTCATACACCACTGGTGTTACCCAACCTATACAATAAAGTAATAATCATTAGACTTCGTCAAATAAATGCTTTTCATTCAACTATTAAAACTTCTGCTCGATCTAGTCAAGCAAGTACAACCCTTTTACCCGGGAACTAGAACCATAAATTATTTTCCTTTGTCCTCAACTTAAATAATTTTCACAGCTCTATCGCCATTTCAGTTCGCTATTCAATTTCTTTAACTGTTCTCTCTAATTAGGCCCTAATTAATAAAACAAATACTTGCTATCGTTGATAAGCATACATTTAATTATATTCCTATCATTTAAACTATGTACTGTCTCTCACCCCTTCCCCCCCTCCCCTTGCTCCTTCCTACACAACGGGGGAGGCGTGGGGACCTGCCCTAATCATCTTCCTTCTTAGGAAATAATGTAATTCGTACTTGTAAAGCTATCTAATTCAACTTTTAATACACGTAGTAATCTAGGTCCATAGCCCCAATGC